ACATCTGGTGAAAATTTCATGTCATTAGCACCTCTAGTAATATATTTACTGAGAAAAATGGTGATGTGTTCAATACTGATTTTACCTGCTGTATGTGTAAAAAAACAAGATTTTTTAAAGCAAAGACCGTATTAAAACATTTTCAAAACAAATTTTAAAAGTACTGTTTTTCTTTTAATTATATTTTTAGTTTGACAGTAGAAAATTGGAATAATTAATTTTATGTTCAGATTTGTTTTATATCAATGAATTTACAGGGTGTCAAAAGTCACAGGACATCCTTTTATTTCAGATATGTCATTTTTCWGTTTTTCTAAAATAAAAGCGTGTTCTACAACTTTTGACTCACCTTATATTATTAATAAATAAATTAATATAATGATAGTATAATCAACTGTATGGATAATATAAACTATAATTGATTATATAACATATATTCTTCCTTCTCTGGACTTTTACTTGAGACAAATTTCTTCAGGAGGACCTGAGTTTCATTTGATGACCGCTTGAAATGTTCTTTCACACCTGTTTGCTGTTTATATAAGTTTATAGACTTCTAAAACAAATTRAACCAGAAAAATATAATAATTTGAGTCATTAGCATGTAGGAAGACTTTTACTCCATCCTCCATTCTGAAGAGCTGTTAAGGTCCTATTAGACAGAACCCGACTCCAGAAGGACCAGACTGTCCCTTTAAGCTGTGAACGTGAGTTTCATGCTGTCACTTGTCTGAACACCTGAGTCACTGTGCATTTCTGTAACAAGCAGTCATTTTCTGACATGTTGATCACACTTTGTTTTACAATAAATGACTTTATCACACTGTCCTGAAAGCATTTTTACTGTGCAGCTAAATATTAATAAAACTCAATATATACTCATCTGTGAGGCAGACTGAGAGGTAAAAAATTAATTTAAAACAGTACAAAGATGTTATATCAGTGTTACAATTGTAAAAATATCTTATTTAAACAATTAAAATAGGATACATCTTTATTGTCATTGTTGTACTGAAAAGAACAGTGCGGTCCACAATCAACAAAAAAATAATATTGCAGCTCGTCCTGATGCATCTCAGTAATCCAGGTAAAAAATCAAAAAGAAAAAAACTGTATAGGTCCTCTGGAC